ATCGAGTTACGTAGGTAGATGTAAGCCCTGTGAGAAATGTTACCTTCAAACAACGCCTCCCCGTGACGGCGTGAAATACCACCGAATATTCGCATATAAACCAACACCCCATGGGCTGTATGCCGTGGACTGCAGGTACTTAATGAAATGCGATAATAGCCTGATAGTCATTTCCATCTATTCGTTTTGTTTTCAATCTGGGCTTGTTGTTGTTCTTTTGGTGGCGTTCAAGCGAACCTCATTAGTCGAGAGTTAATTACACTAATTTTGATGAGAATTTCTGTGAGAAACATACACAGGTACTACACAATTAACCTTTACACTACGAGTAAAATCAAACAACACGCTCAACAAATGATCTGATAAATAAGTATATGAATAAGTAATGTATAAACAAGTGAATAAATAGAAAAAAATCAAGTAAACAAAGATGAGCAAATAAATAAATAAATAAATAAATAAATAAATAAATAAATAAATGCAGGTGGTTAGATGCCGTAAGATTGTTTGATGTATTCAAGCTGTAAGTAAAGCCGGTTATTAATTAATCTATTTGAATTTAAATTTCATACATATCGCAGATTAAAAAGTTGGTGCATTTTTTAAAATTAAGACCTGTGGTAAGTTTATTAAATGATAATATCAAACTAATAAGAAATAACGCCAAGCACTCATTAAAACAAACGGATTGGTGATCCGTGCGAGTGGCTTGATTTCGACAAACAAAAAATAGAAAGAAAGCAGAATTCGATTTGGCTCCCCGTGAAATCTGGACATATCAGCGGTGAGGGCTGTAACAGGTGCGTGGTAAAAAGACGTGTTGGCCCAAGGGATGGGTTTCACCGGCCGCAAATCCGGTGATAAGACTGAAAAACGCCTGATAATGTATTTTCAATTAAGAGGAGGGGAGATGGGGCCTGCTGATGAACACCGACAATGGGTGACAATAGGTTCGTCTTACAGAACACGATTAGATGTGGTATTCTAAGTTGAGCTAATCTACGGCTATTGTTATCATGGCGCTTTAGTATGGGAAGGTAGCTCGCATGTGGGGGACCTGTCACTGTCCTATCAACTGCTATTGACCGATTCAGTCGCTTACAGTGTGGAAATTAGATCCCCATTGCCGGGGTATGGACTGGATGGTTACCTATTCAAACACCATCAACAGATTGACAATTTTTTTCGTGGCCCAGAGCCCGGGCACAATACACACGGAGTAATTGCTGAATGTATTATGGGGCTCTGGCTGTGCCTACGACTATGATAGCTCTGACACGTACAGATTATCTGGGGGTGATCCTACGCCTCACTTTTGTCGTCCTGTTGGGATAATCAGCACTTCACTACCTGTAAAATCCACTAATCCCGTCCACTTTGCCTCTAAATACCATTTAGCGTATTCAGCGCGGTTGTGTTGGTTTCACACAGTGAAAGGGATAGGGACAAATGGCATTGTCGCGGTGATGTGGCTCATGGGGAGACGTCTCCGCGCTGTCTGGCGGCCATTGTGAACTCGGTCATTCTACACGAGGTAGAGCCCTTGGATCGCTTTCCTGCTACAAAAACATTTGAGTCAAGGGGCGGGTGAAGAAGAATAACTAGCCGGGATACGCCAAGCTGTGAAAAATGGTTCTTTTCAGATGTATTTTGTAACGAGGCAATCAGCCTGAAAAGCGTGAACGGTCTCTCTTGCGCTAAACAAGCTCACCGGTCGTAGAGACACTCCATCAAGCTGCTCATTAAAATATATATTATGGGAAGGTGTTGATGACTTCCAATGNTTTTTTTTTTTTTTTTTGAAAATAAAATGACTAGCTATGAAGTCGTTTGGTAGTCTTGAGTCAAGTAAGGCATAATAATCTTAAATGCGTATTGATGTAAATCGTTTGCTGATAAACAGGTAGTTTTGAAGTACAAGGAAAAGTGGTTGATAGCCTCAGTACTTTTATCCGAATATTAATTTACTTTGTAACGTTTTCATTCTGCAAAGTCATAAATTGTCGCTTTAATCGCTTAACGAGCGCTAACAATTAAACCCCTATCTGTATTTCGTGCCTGTCTTCTAACGACCTTAAAAAAAGTGCTGCTCTTTTATGTACAAAATGTCCATACTGGTATTTTTTCCCGGAAACTTACCTGTCATATCCTGCCCTCTGCTTCTTACAAACTGTCACTGCTAAATGACAAGTATTCAATTTACAAATAACACAAAGCGAAAATGAGAGATAATACTGCTCTCTCTCTCTCTCTCTCTCACGTGGTTTTCAGGAAGTTCAAGAAGCGTCTACATAATGATGAAAAAAAAGTAATTGGCCTTGGTTATATCATCGCTGATTTAGTCGACGCGCTATTAACTGAATATGGTAATATCTTTTTCATTTTTATGGGAAATCAAAATTAAGTCAAAGAAATGAATCGGAGAACAACAAGAACCAGAGAACATAATTTCGTTTCATTTCCCATTAGTCGTCTGAAATAATTCTAATCAATTCACTATGTTCCTCGCGCACTTTGAAGAAATATCACACCTTCCTTCAATTTTCCAAGAAATCACCAGAGGTGTCTGTTATCTCGTCACGGTGCCAGGTGTGCCCAGTGATCAGGTTTTATATCAACTATCAAGTGTGTTTATGTCTGAGGAGAGAGAGAGAGAGAGAGAGAGAGAGAGAGAGAGAGAGAGAGAGAGTATGTGTGTGTGTGTGAGAAAGAGAGAGAGAGAGAAAGAGAGACGGGGGGGAGGAATATAGGATGCATCATTCTGCTTATTCTGTTTGTGAACTTTCCTCACCACCAAGTCCGGCTTACCGAACAAATTTAGAAAGAGGGAAAACATTGGCAAATTTAAATTTGAAATTTGTAAATTTTTTCAAGTCCAATGCTCTAGCTTTTTAAAAGCCTCACCTCCACGCCAATAACTGAACAAATATGTGCGTTCGATGGGCAATAATCAGTCAATACGCACAGTAATCTTATTAGAGATGAAATAATTTCTCTGGTTTTATACAATATTGCGTTACAATAATAGACAGTCTTTTTGCATGTGGTTGTATGAAAACATGTTGAAACACCGCGAGCATGTACAGCCTACACAGTGTGAAGTTACAATACTAATATTGTCACTGCCTTTCTATACACAAGCAAATGATTCACAGTCCGCTTTCATGAAAATTACTCATTACTAATTCGAGATTATTGAAGTTCAGTGGCGGAAAATATTTCATTTAGGATATCTTTTTTCTGGTTAAATTTGTGTTTTGATTCGGTGTACTCTACTGCGATTTCTATTGCACGTTTAAAGGTCGTTCAAAGAGATTGACTTTTGGCCTCAGTTGTTTGGATGTTAGACAGCATCGATAAGATGGCTTATAGAAGGAGGAATATATGTGTTGAAAAATTATAATTAAAAAAACTCTTTTAAGTGAAAAAGGTGCATTTGGCTGACAAACTAAACTCACGAGGAACTAAGCGACACTGCGAAGACGTAAACTTAGACTTGCCTTGGAAATTGACTTTTATTTCCTCTATACCAATACTATGGTACAAAATAAATGATTATTTAACAGTTATTCTACTCTAGAGAGACTGCAAATACAGCTGAGATGCCCAACCTTCCCCGTACAACTTTCCCTGTAAAAGCGCACCTCTTGGGGCAAAATAAGAACAATTATTGTCAAATGTCTGTCTATTGACAGGGCAAATTTACTGTCACCTTTATCAATATGATCTTTGACAAAATTTGCACTTCGAGTGCAGAATGCTGTCACTAATTGACCTATGTGCCAATATTTGTCTGTCCTCTCGTGACATTTCCCGAGATTCCGGTCAGTTGGATTCCAATGGGGCTCACATTCTTATATCAACACGTGTTCAATTATTAGTGCACCTCAAGTTGAACTGTGTAAAACGAGCATATTTTTCATTTCTTCAGAAAACTATAAATACGATTTAAAACCCATAGAGACAAAATTGAAGGGGAAAACAGTATTCACGTAAGTTATAAACGTTGTAAAACGTTATACGAGGGTAAAAGCAGATAAACCCTGATAGAAAGAACATACTAAAATCACTGTGAAAATTAGTTCTGTCGCGATCCATACTCGAGCGTGCACATGTAAACTTAACTAGGTCTATTCCTAAGTGGAGGCCTCGTTACCAAATATTAGCAACACTGCTGGACACAGGTTTAGACCGCTGCATCATTTCAATATCGGTTCTACGGATAGAAATGTGGACTCTCTCTCTCTCTCTCTCTCTCTCACTCCCCCCCCCCCTCTCTCTCTCTCTTTCAGAACTCTTCTCTTCTGGCAAGCAACCAAGATCTACAAGATTTCACTTTATAAAACTCTAGTGTAGGCTAGGAACAGAGTCCTATTTTTTAAAAATAAAAATGGATGCAGATTAACATTTTATGCATGTCCCTTGAATCACGAACAAACAGTTAATGACACAGAAGTTTGCGGGTAAGGAACGTATCAGTGCGAAATAACGACAAAACGCCTCCAGAGTGAAGACATAAAATAAAAAAGATCTTCTTGAACAGAAAAACGAAATAAAACAATTGAGTTTATGAGCCGACATATGCCGTAGGGTGTCCTATCGCTTCATTAGCCCGTCGCTGCCTCGTCCATTAGCATCACATGATTCCGAGATAAGATCAGGCGAGAGTTAATCATATAATGGAAAAGGTGAAAACAAATAGGTTTTTTGAACAGATTGAAGGTGTTTCACAGATCAGCTGACAACGCAGGCTTGTACAAACTCGCAGGTAAACATTGCGGCGAGCCAGCACACTGCGCTCCTCCAGTGCACAACACCTTGCTTCTCTAACACAATCGGATACTCTGCTATTGTTAGCAATTGCTGTTGCAAAGTAGTTTTTATCCCAAAAACTTTCAAATTAATGTAATTTTCCGTTCTTCTTTGAAACATGGTGCTGCCCAAAAACTCAAATATATCCCATAAAAGTTGCAGAATGGGTTTTTAAATAAATAGATGCTTTTATTCATCTTAGTCATTGTTAAAAATCACATCTTCATGTCCAACATCATTTAAATATCACATAAATCATGGTAGCTATAGTCATCACTGCAGTCATCACTGAACTCTGGCAGGAAGTGTTCAGAGACTTTGCAGTCAATTGTACATACAAACATCAATGTTAAAAGCCTGACCGCTGCATAAAATATTTGAAAAAAATAATTAAAATAATAAATAAAGATGTAATTCTGCTCATATTCCTTAATTCAATAACATACCTAAATATAGGATTTTACAATTAATCAATTGAATACTGAATCAAAATAACCACAACCAGCACTTTATAGCAATAATGGTTGGTATCTACACTAAATCTCTAAAACAAACATTTCAAAGTGAAATTTCTGTCAAGAAAAAGTAGGGCAACAAATAAGTACAACTGAGTGAAGACTGTTTGCAAACTGTGAAATTACTAAATTTTATATAAATAATTTTACAAAAACATTTTAATCGCAAAAGGTTTCTTTCTGGTATATGGAAATATTTCAAGCATTAAATGCTTAATCAACACCTTAATCAAGAGATGCACATAACATGTAAAAGTGTATTTGAGATCAAATTAACAGCTGTTTAAATAAATCACTAAAACTAAGGTTGTTTCTTGGATATACTAACCCACATTAACTAGAATATTACTTGACTGAATCCACCCATTTCTTTACTCATCCATAAAGATATCCCCTATTATATATACCTTTAACAGAAATAACATCACTTACTTAATAAGTATCTAGGAGACCTCACCCATTATACAATCATTAAAGACTTATTTAACAGTATTGTCTTGCTACTGTAACATATTCTTAAAAACAAATTTTATAAAAATTTACTATATCCAATAAAGACAGTTGAAACTTTACTGAAGTCACTTAAGGTAAATTTGTCCAAGTAAAAGATGTTCTAAATTAAGGCAACAATTATCCCACTATTGTCGAAGCAGGACCAGGCACCAATGAGCATTTTTTCTTCAGGTGTGGAGATGGCAAGCAGGCTAACTGGTGGCTACCACTGCCACCTTCTGTGGGGAAATCTTCACAGGTGAGTTCAGCTTTAACGGATACGACACCTGCTTTTCGTATGTTTTTAAAGTCAGTGGAGGTGAGTTAGTTTCTTGGTGGGTTAGCGTCACTGCCATCTGTTTCTCGTTGATGGTCAGGTCCAGCGAAGAGCCGAGGTAATCCATCCCAGTGATGTTCATAGATTTGGAGTTCAGGGGAAGAACAGGGTCAAGGTCAAGTCGATCTTCTTTGAGACGGACTCCCCCGTATCCAAACAGTACGCACTGTAGCATGTCTCCCATTCCTGTGATGAAGTTTACAGCACCCGAACCATCACTGTTCTCTGTCCACAGCTGGAGAGATGAGAAAAGAATGAATTTCAGTCAAAAGCACCTTTTAAGCTAATGATTCTAACTTTTTAATTCGACTCAAAAGAGTCTTTCAAGCTTAAAATTTTGATTTTTTGATAGGTGTTTTACAGCATAAAGTTTTTTCTACATATCAAGCTTTAAGGCTCTAAATAAATAATATTATTATGATAATCATCATTAGCATTATTTGGGTCTCATTTAATCTTTTTAAAAGATCAAATAAATAAGCGTATATAACCAGCAAATAAAATGTTTGCTCTCAGAAAAGTGTTTTCATCGTCTATCATTATCTGTGACTATATGAAAAATATCTTACTGGACTTGCTTAATTCAATTTTAATCAATTTGTGGTTAGATCTTTATGGAAAAAGAACAATATAAACAAAATCTCCTACCAATTATATCAAACATTTAAAGTGTACCCTGAACTTTTCAAAAAACATACCATGTACTTTGGAACGTTGACAAATCATCAATTGCTTTTTTCCAACAAGACTTCTATGATCTTATTCACCAATACTGGTCAGAACAAAAAAGGCAATAAATACAGCGCACTGGTTTTTAATTAAAACCCTTACCTGGAATGGCTGTACTATATTCGCAAACTTTTTCTTCAGGAATCTATTTGCCTTAGAAACAGCTTTCAATTCCAGCCAGTTGATAGCAAACTGCCCCCAGGTCATTGTGGGACCTTTGATATCCGTCAACTGAAATACACAGGGAGGAAATAAACATGAAGTGGATATGGATAAATGCACATATAAATCATATACCTCATCATATATATAAGCACATAGTGTAACTACGCCCTTCAAGAGAGTTCAGCAACAGGTAAAAAGTCATGACCTGAAGCCTCCACAACTCTTTTTATCCACCTCCACAAGACCTGAGCCAACTCAGACCAGAGTTCTCATACATGGCATTTAATTTACCCTTATCTTATGTTAAACAAATATCAATAACATATAACAATGTATCAATTACAATACATTTCAGTTTTCTGGCATAATTAATATAATTTATATTATAAGTACATTCTACAAATGGAACATGCTCTACATAGCCTACATCTAATACAATGATCTCCTATAACAATCCATGTTTCCTTACCTTTTCATAAAACGCCAAATCATTTCTCCTGGTACTTGTAGACATGTTCATCATCAGAGGATAACCCAGCAAGATCACATCTGCTTGCTTCACTTGAGTACCTGTATTCAAAAACCAATAAAATTGTTTTTAGTGTTTTAAAAGATAAAGTTGGTATATAACAACCCAGTCACATCCTGAAAAAATCTGCAATTTCTTATCTAAGACATATTCTCCAAAATAAATGACTGCCAGCCACAGATTCTTAACATTGGATTTAGAATAATAAAGCAAATTAGGAGTCAATTCCTAATAACTCTACTATTTCAACTGACTGCTTTGTTGACTAAAATTAAACCAGCTAGTGAGCTTTACATATTCTGTAGGAAATGCAATACTCACGCAATGTAAACCTATTATATTCACTCAATGTATACCTATTGTAAACCCATCATACCCATTGTAAACCCATTATACTCAACAAATGTAAACCTATCATACTCACCCATTGTAAACCCATTATACTCACCCAATGTAAACCTATCATACTCACCCATTGTAAACCCATCATACTCTATGTAAACCCATCATACTCACCCAATGTAAACCCATCATACTCTATGTAAACCTATCATACTCACCCAATGTAAACCCATCATACTCCGGGTGGTAATCCAATTTCTTGTCATAGGGTATATACATGTTGTCTGCCATCTTCTGATATTTGGGGTCCACCTTAACCCCGGTCAGTTTCCCAGCATAGGCTGGCAGTAATAGGCTGATCTTGGCTACATAGTTAGTGTACACTGAGTTGTTCACATTGAAGTGGTATTCATCAGGGCCATCCACACCTAGAACACAGGCAGAGGCATAGATAGTGCACATTCAGAACTTACAGATCCACGGATCAAATATGGTCAACCAACTTGACTGCTTGTTGCGTAATCCCCGGCAAGTTTTTAGTGGGTCACCATATTTAATCCACAGATCTCTNGGAGGCTGATCTTGGCTACATAGTTGGTGTATACAGAGTTGTTCACATTGAAGTGATATTCATCAGGGCCATCCACACCTAGAACACAGGCAGAGGCAAAGAAAGAGCACATTCAGAACTAAAAGATTTAGTGGGTCACCATATTTGATCCACGGATCTCTTAGTACACTGTTCTGAATCTGCTCCAAGTCACACTGAGGCATGTGATCCATGACAGTGCAGTGTAAAATCAAGTTAACATTTATATATAGATTACTAGACTAAATATTTAATTGGTCAGGTATGGCAAGGAGCACCTGTTGCTCTATGTGGGACTGTGTACAGGACAAGCACCTGACCACTTATAATAACTGACTGTCTCAGAGTTTGTGTCTGCGAAAGCTATTTTACAACTAGAACAATTTTCATCTTTTCTTCTAAGAAAAGAAAAGTAAGTCTCAGCTTTATACACAAGTTTGGGTGCAGTAAAAATAATCTATATATTAATATTTCTCATGACACTTAATGTTTAAAAAAACTCAAAGTTCTAAGCATGAGAAGAGATCATGAATAAGCATTTTCTTGTAGAAATAAATATCAAAATCAAAATTTCAACCCACTGTGTATTTCCAGTTTTCCTCCCTTTCCAACAACGGACCGTGACTCCCAGAAATCAGCAATACCGAGTACCATATCAAAGCCTTTCTCATTCTTCAGGAAATCAGCATCCCAAGTGGAGTACAGATATTGGCGGACAGCAAGAGAAATGTCTCCGTTAATGTGGATCTCGTATGTGGCTGTGTCATTGCTGGGGCTGGTCTCTGCACCTACAGGAATAATGTTCACAATGAAATTCATTCTTCCACACCATAACAGCAGCAGTCCCGTGCTCCATAATTCTTAATGCATGCCATGTGTTCATCATAATATTGAGAATAAGAAGCAAAAAACTTGACATCCAAATGCTTGGTTTGCAAGCTAGTAGTGCAACCATTATAAATATTTTCAATACAGTAACAAAAAAAGAACTAATTTTATCTAAACTAATAAAATTCTGTCACTTGTAATCATAAATTGGGTCTTTGGGTGCCTGTTGATAAAAGAACAAGACATTTCCTCTGTCACTGCACTCACCTGTGAAGGCACTCTCCCACGGATACTTGGCTCCTTTCAGATGTTTCTGTATGGCGTTGTGCCTGGCTGCGTCTAGAGTCCTAGTCCTGGTCTTTAACATGATCTTAGCCAGGTCAGAGAAGAACATCTGTATAGGAGGGTACATCCAGGTCTCCTGGTCCCAGAACACATGGCCTTCATAGTCCTGGTGATGAGATGGGAAAGACAGGGTTTGTTTCAGTAATATTTACCATATTCTGTTGACTATAATCTGAACAGATGACGAGGCCCTGATGAAAAGGAACTACACAGTGTAGAATATAATAATAATAATAAACATGAGGGTTGAATTTGTTCCAGGCAAACCTGTTAATATGTATGAAATCATGGTGTAATCACAACCAAATTTTAAACCACACCATTACTAAAACTGGCCATCAATGATGAAATTCCATAATCAGCATCAACTATGATAAACTTTGGCCACACACTGCCCATTATACTAAGATAACTTGAACAAAATAATCTGATGACAATAAAAAATCAGAATATATATCTTAATGACCAAATAATTCTAGGTACATAATCTTTTCTTGTGTCAGGGGATCCTGATTTATTTATATTATTTTCAAAAGATCATCCTATTAACACAAACCTAGTATCAACATGCATGAAAAGTAAGAATGAATTCCCAAAGTTTTGTTTACCAGATCCACGAACAAATCATCATATCCAGGCCCGTAGCCAGGGGGGGTTCGGGGGGTTCGAAAGAACCGCCCCTTTTGCTGGGAAAAGGTCCACTCTGATTACAATTTGGTCAAGGTACATCAAGTTTTTATGGGAAAAGGTCCACTTTTTCAGAAAAAGAACCCCCCTTTTGAAATTGCTGGCTACGGGCCTGATATCTGATAACTCTTATCTGAAAGTTATCAAACCTCAATGATCCCTTGTTGAGTACTGACAATATCTAATATTCTGTTATTATAAAAATGAAAGGAAATACGGTCTATAAAACCTGAAGCAAACTGAAACTTGACTGATGTTAAAACCTTAATAATTTTTAAATCACTGATTAACAAGAAAACAGCCTCAAATGCTGAGATCACATAAATAAGATAGCATCATTCATGTCTAACCAAGATTTGTATCTCATCTGTGTTACAGGGTAGATATTCTGGAGTACCATCATACAGGTTTGAACAGGTGCAAAGTGTTTTAATTTAATCCATTTGTAGTAAGTCCCCTATTCTGAATGGGGCCTTTGAGGGCCTATCACCTTTCACAACTGACTTTCTGCCATTTCAAGAATAAGCTATAACAAAATCATACTTCAAAATATCTTACCTTCTTATACGCGCCGTGTGCCAGATCTCCTGGACTCAGTCCTATAAAAGGCCAGTTAGTGTCTTCCTTCAGAGGCAAGGAGCTGAGGATGTAGTACAGGCAGCCATAGACAGACCTGGCCAGACCTTTGTTGTCTGAGACATCTATCCTTCCTTTCTTCCACACCTCATTCCACGCTGTCACATGGTTGCTGTACAGCTGGTTTTTCTTGGCCAGAGCCATACCTGGTGACATGGCAGAGAATTCATGTTATTTTTGGAGGAATTGAGATCAATTGTATGATTTATTGGGTGAATTTGATGATATGGAGCCCTACTTTGATGTGTACATATCAAATTTATATAACCTTGTTATGAAAACCATTTTCCTCAAAAATTCTACATAAATGTTGAAAACTAAACTGGATAAACTTTAAATTTTGCAAACATCAAACCAGGGCACTTTTTCATACTAAATTTCTTTCAGAATAACAATTTACACTCACCCAGCTGAAACCCATCTTCTGCATCTTTCTTGCTGTAGCTGGCAGAAGTGATGGACACCCACTTCATCTTCTTGACCATAGGGGGCACCACCAGTTCACGGGGAACCTCTGTGTAGAACACATGGGACTCAGTGGGTGTCAAAGCGGGGAGCTCCGTCTCCTTAATCTGGCCATAGATGTATCTGGTGGGGAGAGGGAGAAGCTTTTGATAGGCATAAAAGTTTAATTAACTGCCAATTTACTAGAGAAATTCAGTCTAGGCAAAATCATTTTATATTGTATTTAAAAGATGAAATTGAGAGATTCAGGTGCCAGCTTCTTAATTTTCAAATCATCCTGTGTGTGTGTGATTAACAGACTCTGACATTCACAAATGGTGATTGACTATATGGAGATTCTGTGGTTCTGTAAAATTTTAAGATGTGATGTCGATTCCTACTCTGTCTAGTCACATGGATGGTGTCAGGTCTATTTCCAGAATAAATAAATTCTGATGTGAACTTGGTTTAACACTTACTTCACACCAGCTAATCCAGAATCCCCATCTTTATAGCTAATATCAGTGCTGCTGGCCCCAGAGTTTAGATTAAGGGAGATTTTGTTTGGCCCTGTGGTGCCATCTCTCTGGACCTCCACCTCTACCACCAGTAGCTGGGGGACAGCCCTGTGAGCGTACAGCTTCTGGGTGATGTTATAGCCCTGGCCTCGGATTGTTTGGGTGAAAACACCTGGAATTCAGTTCAACTGATCAGTAACACATCCTGCTGAGGGTTATATCATATGAGAAACTTACATGTGAGTTTATTCAAAAATATTTATTTCAGCATTTAAATAATCTGTTTTAATCAATTAATAATCTGTTTAACTTTTACCATTTAAAATTAGCATTTTTTGTGTAAATATCATTTAAGAGGAAAATTAACTGAACATCTGCCTTTTATTATGCCAAATTGTAGCACATAAATAAAATAGTTAATGAAGCAAAAGTAAGTTTTTTTTCTTTCAAAATATCTTCAAATACCTTCTGCCACATTCAGTGCATATAACCTGACCAGGGGACCCTGTGATGGCTCCACAGCAGTGATGTTAACTGAACACGAGGAGGGAATCCTTGCTCTGTGACTTGACGTCAGGCGGCCATTGTATAACCCATTCATGTAGATGGCGTCACTGTACACCACTGTCCCTACGTGACCATTGGCAATGGTGGGAAGGTAACGTGAGTTTATAGGCATTCTGAAAATAATATGGTTTATATCAATTTTTGATGAATTTTTGGTCATGCAATAAATATATGTATTAATAAAAGTATATTTTCATAAGCTCAGTACTAGTACATGTACTATATTTTCATACTTAAAGTAAGTAACACAATAAATGCATAAAATTCACTATCATAACCAGCATTTTATTATCCCAATATGATTAACACACTTACTCTTTCTGTGTAGCTGTAAATATGTAGTTTTCAACTGGAACCCAATTAGGAATAGAGCTTGGGACAGCTGGCAGGTCTGGTAGTGGATACTGACTATCTGCTATGATAAGTACTTGTTCAGCATTTGTGGCTGATTTTGGTGCTCCTCCCAGGCCGCCAGTCTGAGGCATCTGCTGTCCAAACTGCTGGCTAAATTTCTGTCTTCTTTGTCCTTGCGACACTTCTAGTTGCTGCTGCTGACTTGCTGCTTTCTGAGCTGGCTGGTGAACGAACTGCTGTCCTTCTTGAAGTTGCACATTTGGTTGTTGTCCTGGTTGGTTCACTAGCTGTTGTCCTTCTTGAAGTTGTACATTTGGTTGTTGTCCTGGTTGGTTCACCAGCTGTTGATCTTGAAGTTGTACATTTGGTTGTTGTCCTGGTTGGTTCACTAGCTGTTGTCCTTCTTGAAGTTGCGCATTTGGTTGTTGTCCTGGTTGGTTCACTAGCCGTTGTCCTTCTTGAAGTTGTACATTTGGTTGTTGTCCTGGTTGGTTCACTAGCCGTTGTCCTTNGTTGTACATTTGGTTGTTGTCCTGGTTGGTTCACTAGCTGTTGTCCTTGAAGTTGCACATTTGGTTGTTGTCCTGGTTGGTTTACTAGCTGTTGTCCTTCTTGCCCTTGGACATTTGGTTGTTGTCCTGGTTTGTTCACTAGCTGTTGTCCTTCTTGCCCTTGGACATTTGGTTGTTGTCCTGGCTGGTTCACTAGCTGTTGTCCTTCTTGCCCTTGGACATTTGGTTCTTGTCCTGGTTGTTTTACTAGCTGTAGTCCTTCTTGCCCTTGGACATTTGGTTGTTGTCCCGGTTGGTTCACTAGCTGTTGTCCAGCTTGAAGTTGTACATTTGATTGTTGTCCTAGTTGGTTCACTGACTTTTGTACTGGCTCTTGTTGTATGTTTGGTTGCTGCATATATGCCTGTCTTGTCCCATTTTCTGCCTGATTTTGTCCTTTCATTGCTGCTTGCTGATCACTGGCCTGATTTCTAATGTTCTGCTGTACTGACCCCAGGAATTGTGAATTAGATGGCAACTGATGACTACCCAGCTGTGGCACTGGATGTTGCTGGAAGCCTGACTGTTGTTGTCTCCCCTGTAAGACCAATTTTTGCTGCTGTGAGTCTGACTTTTGTGTTTCAGAAAGATGTTGCTGTATTTGTCCATTGTGTGGTGCATCTGATTCGTGATGCTGAATAACTGAGTTTTCATCTGTTTTATCTTTTGGTGAGGTGTCATTTTTTATAGAGGTGTCATTTTTTATAGTTGCATTGAGAATGATATTCTTATTCATACTATCTGGCTTAAGAATACTCATATTTAAATGTGTGTGGTTAGCTGCAGTGATATCAGGCTGTCCTTCAAAGGGATTCCGTTGCTGCATAGTGGCCTTAGTAGTTTGGCTATGGCTTCCAAAATTGTTTGGTTGCATCTGTTTTTCCACTGGCTGCTGCTGCAAGTCTTGGTGTGGTGCATATTGAAGAGAAGGCAGTCCACCTTTGTATTGTATACCCTTAGGAAGTAATGACTCATGGGTCGTTAGTAACAGTTTGCTACTGGGCTTCTGTACATGTCCTTTTCCTTCCAACTGTTCCATCTGCACATGTTCCATCTCATTTTCGTGTTTACTTATCTCATCAGCTATTTCTTCTTCCTTCTTCTGATACTTCAGGTCAGCCTTCTCCTTCACAACTCCATTTCTTGATTCTCTTTCATCCTCTACCTCATCAGTTCTTTGAAGAACATCAAAACCTCTACCATTTAAATTCAGAGCACCTTTTTTTCCACTGGAATAGTTCTCTTTCTTACTGTCCCTTCCTCCCTCTTTTTCTACCATCTGTCCTTTTTTACTCTGTTCTTTTCCTTTCCCAGTTTCAGATGCTATTACATCAGCATGGTTATGGAGAGGACCACCGTGAAGGTCTAGTCCATGAAGGTGGTGACTTTTAATTTTTTCATCCCAGCTTTTCTCAACATGTGGCTTGTGTGTTGCATTGAAATCATCTGATGCTGTAAACACAGTGACATATAAGAAATATGCCAGAACTGTAGGTATTACAAGCAGCAGGATTCTCAGTCTTCGCTTGTTTATCATGTAGACCAACATGGCTGTGCTGGAAAAAGAAATAATAATAAAATACTAATACATCAATATTAAGAAGACAGTTCACATTTTTAATATTCAACCTCTGTTTTTTCCCCAAAAATCTTATATACAGTCATTATGAAATAAAGTTAACTTTTAAATGATTTTCTCACATCCTCATTGCGCCTGACATAAACCCGTAAGATTATGTATAGATCCTTGGGCAATTTGAGAAAATCTAAGATGGCCACCTAGCTACATCATTCATAATAGACAGTGATTATGCTATTAATGCAAATTATGCAATTTTCCATCAAAATTACAGAGTAGGGAAAAAGAACTTTTGTTCTCTGACCCTCGGATGTGAATTTATCATTACTTCATTTATCATGGAAAATGATGTGATTGTGAGATCTAAGCATAATTCAAATCTCAATGGCCAACACACAAATATCAGCTACCATGCTCTAATTTTTACAATAACGGCAGAGCTGTAGCTCTACTACATCCCATCTTGATTTTGACCAGTGAACATTAGAACAGGGGCATTGGAAAACATATGATAAAAGTGACTGGATTTCATGGGGAACAAGGGACCTTTGAACTTTTGGTCACTTGCTAGGGCTTTCTTTGTCCTTAAACAGCCTGTTGTGACCCAATGAAATGTCACATGAATACTATCAATGTCCTTAACCTGGTGGGTTTCAAGCCTATTATGTTGATTCTCTGTAACTGGGTCAAATTACCCAACTATAGGCTTATTGTGTTATACATGGAGAATGCAAAAGATCAGTCTTTTTGCGGCCACCCAATATTTGTTGAATTAAATGAAGAATGCTTTACCACTGAATTTCGGTCATGCCATAATTTAGTACTTTTATCAATCATTCTGATAGTCATGTCGATCAACTGATAAATATTACATAATGATTACCAGCTAGTACTTACACCACAAAATTTTAATAATGTTATATACATATACAGTAACTTATAAGTATCATGGATATTCAGAAAATGTGATTAGCAAATTTAAAAGGTATTCAAGCCCACAGAAAGACACACCTAGAAAATGCCAATTTGTTAAAAATGAACATTTCACATAGAAAAACTGTAGCTGTATTCTTAGTCTAAAAATCATTTTTGTAAGTTTGAGAATGATCAGATAATGGAACAAATATTAATCCAATCACAGTTTCCACGTGTAGTCCTTAGACCAATTTTGACACAATATTAGCCATATTTGATTGCAAAGATCTGGCCATAGCACAAGAACCAATGCCCATCACCCGATGTGTGCCATTCTGCTGCAATACTCTTCTTTCTACAATGAAGACATCTGTTTCTTTACCCAATCCCATCTTTATTTTGACCAGGAAAAGTTAGAGTATACATAATTGGAGTTTGTATTTTTGTATGCAATGGAGTTTTCCTGTGCAGCACATTTGTGATTGTTCAAATTAATAGCATAGTCACTATCTATCATGAATTGTTCTATCTGTATTTTTTCAGCATGGAATTTTCTATACTGTGTATGTACAGGGAACTGAATAGGTTTTTCATTTACCAGAAACTTAAATATAAAAAATCCGGATTTTTCAGATAATAGTGTGAATCGACTAATATTCCAATAATTATTCAATTATCATCCCCCGCAGGTTATGGATTTAAGTTTCATTGCATCTTTAAAATTCTTTGAGTGATACTAAGCTACAGATGGATAATTTTAATTGATGGGAACTTCTAAGTAAAGCGGTACTTTTGTAGTATACCCAACATGGTCCATTCTCATATTGTACTAGTATTTCAATGGGCTTTATTAAACGTGCTTAAAACTTGAAACAAGGCAGCAAAGCTGTCAAATGTACAGACAAAAAACAGGAAATAACTATGCACAAAATAGGCTACTGTCAATTCTGATGCAAAAGTACATTATGTTAAACTGCAAATTCAACATCAAATTTTAATTATGCTCAAGCAGCACCCAAAATTGTGTTTTCTTCTATTCTGATGCAATATTACATAATGGTTAACAGCATAATGACCGTCAATTTTTAATAATAAAATATACATGGATTTTCAGAAAATGTGACTAGCATGGGTCTTCAAGCCCGTGGAACTTCAAAGTTACACCTTGAAAATGCCAATATGTGAAAAATTAAATTTTCACAAAAAAACTGTTTAACTGGCAGTAAGAATTACCAAACAGACTGCATTGCCTACTGAAGCTGTATTTTAGTCCCATGTTTCTTTCCTGTAAGTTTGAGAACAGTAAGTGACATGGTTTTTCTTAAATGGTCATCATGGGGGCAGTGCCCAAAATAGTTTTTTTTT